CTAGACCCCCGAGACCAGTCTAGACCACCTGAGGCCAGGCTAGACCACCTGAGGCCAGCATGTAACTCTGAGAATGGAAGCTATGAGCAAGTCCTTAATGGCATCCCACTAGCTTTATAATACTCAGTCCCATATTTCTTTTATACGAGAGAGAACTGTATTTCTAGCTTTTAAATCTTTTTTTTTTTTTTTTGCTTTTCTATTATAAGCAGCTGAACATAACGCCAATAGCCTGGACCTGTGTGGCCTCTGCCCCCGGTATCCGTTCTCTCTCTCAGTAATCACCCCCTTTTTCCTCTGTGGGTCCACCTCCTCCTCCACTTCCCTCCCGGGGGCTTCTGGAGGAGGCGGCTGACCCAGGGCCAAGTAATCCAAGTGCCACGACTCCTGGTGGCGGTGATCGATTGATTCAGGCAAGAGTGTGTGGCCCTAGAATTCCCACTCCCCATGGGCGCCAGGGTTTGCTGAGAAGGTTGCCTTGGCCAGGCTTACCTGTTCCTGTTGGCTTGGCATCTAGATACCTGGTCCCTGGCAGCTCAGATTAGTCATTTATGACCACAGGAGAAGAGCTGGCGGAAGAAGAAGCCACAGGAAGAAAACGGGGCTAATAGTGGACAGAGAGGCCCATCCTCGTCTCGTGACTTTAGCCCTGGATCACGCCTTGCCTGGAGCCGCAGGACTATTTAGTTCTGTGAGCCGGTAACTTTCTATTATTTACTTCAGTGCATCCAGAAGGATGTTTTCTGTCACTTGCATCAAAAAAAAAAAAAGCTCCAACTGATGATACATTGGTTTAAAAACAACATAGTTAGTGTTCCTGTCGGCTAAGTGTAGAAATTCCAAGGGAGGGAGTACTGGTCCATGAGGAATGACAATGAGAACAGGGACCCGCCTGACTTCCTCCCGGGCACCTGAGTCTGGGACAGAGCTGTGCACGTCTGGACCACGGCCGTGGTGTGGGTTCCAGCACGTTCCATGATGCATTGGGACCCAGGCCGAGGGGATGTGTCTCCCCTCACTCCCTCCTTTCCTTGTCCATGCACATCAGCCTGCCAGGCAGCACAGAGCTCTGCGGAGGGAGAGGAGACCGCTGTGCCCAGAGACAGTGGGAGACTCTGGGATGGGGCAAGTAGGGCGGGGGGGTGTCAGCGAGAAGAAAGGTCAAACCATGAAGGTCAAAACTCCTCGGGTCCCAGGGAGTTTTCCTCTTAAACAGGTCACAGCACCGTCTTCCCCAAAGCTTGGCTCACATGATAACTCGCTGGTTAATATGTATTTTGATAGCCCTTGGTTGTGAATGAGATGATCTTGTTTTTCATCTACGAAAGTAATGCTATAGCCTTTCCTCCTAAAATGTGTTGATTGAAGAAAATATTAAGTAACGAAGAGCCACAGGGGGCAGCGTGTTGCTGAGACGGGAGAGGCACATGCCAGGGACTGAGGTTTGAACCTACATGACAGCCTGCTCTTCGGTGGAGAACATCACTCCCATTTTACAGAGGAGGACAATGAAGGCCGGAGAGGGGATGGCAGGGCACATGCCGAACTGCCAAGCCCCGGATCCCTCCGTCAGCCCCCAGTCCTAGGACGCAGGACCCCCGCCGGCTACCCGGGGGAGAAAGCCTGGCCCGCAGACCTCCCCTGGGAACCCGTGACCTGGGAGCCTCA